AAACGGTTGCTATTTTTGTTAAGATAGACTTCACTACAAAAAATATCACTCGTCAAATAAAAAGGTGCGCGCTCTCTTTTTTTAAATAGGTGCACCTTAGGTGGTCAATGAAGAGTTAACGTCTTTTTTTTCAAGCGCAGGGTTAGGCGGGACGTTTTCTCTATATCTAGTGACCAGACTTTTGTCTTTTTTTTTTTGCCAATATTTTTGTCTATGAAACTAGGGCTGCACATAAAAATCACGAAATCGCAAACCGAATCAAAATCGTTAATTTAAAACCGTTGGTTCGAATTCACGTGTACCAGCAATTTTTTTCCCCCTAAATCAAATTAAACATTTTCAAAATAGTTCGGTTTATGTTTCAATTTTAAAAAACGCATAAAGTTGAACCAACCCATTGAAATAATCATATAAAGTAAATTAAATTCATCATTATTGACCAATGATTTTATAAGTCCACAACACACGTTATGACCCAATATCTAATCTAAACTAAAATTATTCCCGAATCATATGAAATGAAAAAAAAAAAACATTTATTTTTAACGATCCAAATCTTAATTCAACAAAACTACAATAGCAAATCACGTCCACAACTCCAGAAATCCTAACATAAACTCCCATTTCTCAAACATGTTTGCTACAGCTAAACAAAATGCGATTGCCAATTGCAAATTGTCAGTCCCCCTTTTGCCTCTTAGTCTACTAATTCTTATCTGAATAACATATTTCTCTCTTCTCTCTCGATAAGTCTTAGATTCGCATTCAAGCCAAATTTTTCATTGTTCTTTCTTTTATTTGTTTTTTTTTTTTTTTAAACTTATTATAAACTTGTGAGTTGTAGTTTAGATTAAAAAAAAAGACTATTTGTGTGCCTAAATGATTAATGAACTTATCTGTGGATTTGAAAGAACGAAGGACAAAGCGTATTGATTGTGTGAAAATGTTAAAGTTCCCTAACTAATATTAGTACCTTCTACTTTCTTAAAGTCGTTAGAGAATGAAGTTTGTCAATTCTCAATAACCTTGAACTCTATCATTCTTTATACATTTA